TCACAATCTACCTGAAAATTGTATGGATGCATGGGCAGACTTGTTTAAAGAGTATTTGCCAGAAGACAATGTGTCTGCTGAATCTTATTATCAGATTCAGAAATTGGTATATAGTCTTGGGTTGCCCTCGGAGATGATAGACGTTTGCATCGACAACTGCATGATTTACTGGGGAGATGATGAGAAGTTAGAAGAATGTTGATTTTGTTAGAAGCCACGATTCAAACCGCAAGGTCGAGGGCGCAATAGGGTACCATACCAAAGGATGTGGTACCTACCAATCACAGACAGATTGAAAAGTTTGTACCAATCTGCGGAGACTGCTGGAGGGATGAGATGGCACGCCGAGCATACTCAGACGGATGGAGAGATGACTCATCCATCAGATGCAAGAGCCTGGAAACATTTTAACAATGTACATCCACATTTCGCTAGCAATAGCCGGAATGTGTATCTTTGATTATGCACTGATGAATTTAGTCCATTTGGAATGTCTGGGAGACAATATTCATTGTGGCCGGTCTTTCTTACACCGTATAACCTGCCACCGGAGATGTGCATGCGACGAGAGTTTCTATTCATGAGCATATTAATACCTGGTCCAAAACATCCAAAAAGATCTCTCGACGTTTTTCTACAACCACTGATAAAAGAGTTGAAAGATTTCTGGTCAACAGGGCTGAGGACATATGATTGTTCAATGAAAACCAACTTTACGATGCGAGCGATGCATTTGTGGACCATAAGTGACTTTCCTGCATATGGTATGCTGTCTGGGTGGACTACACATGGGAGATTAGCTTGTCCATATTGTAATTGAATGACAGATGCGTTTCAATTGAAGCATGGTAGGAAGACTAGTTGGTTCGATTGTCACCGTCGATTTCTTCCCATCCACCACCCATACCGAAGAAACAAGAAATTTTTCAGGCACAAAAGGGTTGTCAGAGACACTCCTCCTCCATATTTAACTGGAGAACAAATTGAAGCGCAAATCGATTACTACTGTGCTCTAGAAACAGCTCCTCGTGGTGGGAATTGGCATGTTCCCAGTAATATGCCTGATTTTTATGGTGTTCAGCACAATTGGCACAAAAAGAATATATTTTGGGAATTGCCATATTGGAAATATCTTCTTTTGCGCCACAACCTCGATGTGATGCATATAGAGAAGAACTTTTTTTAGAACATCATGAACACTATATTGAACGTCCCAGGGAAGACGAAAGACAACGTAAAATTGAGGTTAGACTTACCCGATATCTGCTCAAGGAATGAGCTACATATAAAAAGCAATGGGCAAGTTCCAGTTCCAATATTAAGACTGTCATCAGATAAAAAGTCTGCGTTGTTCAACTGGGTGGCTTCAGAAGTGAAGTTCCCTGATGGGTATGTTTCAAATCTCTCAAGATGTGTTGAGAAAGGGCAAAAGTTCTCCGGGGTGAAGAGCCATGATTGTCATGTCTTCATGCAGCGACTACTTCCCTTTGCGTTTGCGGAGCTACTACCGGCAAAAGTACATGAAGCACTTTCAGGTAATTAATATAATACGATCATATGATTAATTTATTTCTTTATATATATATATACTAATGTGGATAATGTTTGTTTTTGTAAATATACAGGAATTGGAGCATTTTTTAGGGATCTGAGCACCCGCACTCTTAAAGTGGAAGTTGTCCAAAAACTTCATGAAAACATCCTTGTCTTAATCTGCAACTTGGAGAAAATATTTCCGCCTACTTTTTTCGACGTCATGGAACACCTAGTTGTCCACCTCCCGTATGAGGCATTACTTCGTGGACCTGTGCATTATGGATGGATGTATCAGTATGAAAGGGCCATGAAAACTTTGAAAGGAAAAGCCAAAAACCTAGCAAGAGTTGAAGGTTCTATTGTTGCG